TTATTACAATTGCACAAAACTTTCGCAGTACATACTACATGAGCTACAACCTCAACACAAAATTCTGGAGTTTTTTCTTTTTTTTTGTAAAATCTATTTTCGCAGAAAAATAGCAATGGGATACTGTAAAGAAATAGTACTCAGATTCACTACCGCATTGGTTTTTTAAAGATAAGCTCAAACTCACCTTGACGTTGAGCAGGAACTGCTGTGCGCGATCTGATGGTATCTCGGGTTCAGCGACACAAGCGTAGATCAGCGGACCAGGTCCATCTAACGACACAGCATAGTGAATGAAAAATCTGCAAAGTAAGTTAGATACTTTTTTCTGATACAACTGCTACACATAGAATGAAGTGAGAATTCACTAATGCATCGACACATCTTTTACATAGTTGTATATATTCTCAGTAAAATTTTATTGCCCATAACTTTCGTCGTAAATTGTTTTGCTCCACTTTATGAAAGTCGAACTTGGTCTCAATAATTTGAGCATATCAATATCACCAACAACAAATCTTAACATTTGTAAAGCTGTGCATTCAAATTTTTTTCACTACACCTTTAGAAAATTTAACCCTTCAATTATTGAAACAATGCTACACCATCTTATGCAGAAACTATGAGATGTTTTCTACAATTATAAAACGCAAAAATGATCGCATCTATCTACAAAAAAGCTACAGAAAAAACTCTAGCGCAAAAGGTTTGCAAAAAATCCTGACTCCACAAACTCTTGGGATTTCTCCCTAACAAGTGTAATGGAATAATAATGGGATTTGGACTTTTTTCTTCTTAATTCAGAGATGATGAGTAAGCGCAGGTGAAAAAAAATACTGAAAGACAAATCTATGTGGACAGTAAGAAGGTTTGAGCAATTTTTATATATGATACCCATACTGTGCATAGCCTTTGGAAGATTATTCCAATGGATTGATTAAAATTATGTAAAACCTTTTCGTGACGAGGCACATTGCGCTTTTTCACGTAAAAAAAATCCAAGAATGAAATCTATATAATTTATTCGATTAAAATTCCCGACTGCTGAAAATAAATCTCCCCTGAATAAAGAGATGTATCTCTTGAGTTAGATCTGAATTCAACTCACCCATCAATCTCGATCTTGCCATCATTATTGAAGTGAAGTTTTGCACGATTCTCGATAATTTTCGCAGCCTAAACAAATTAGGTTAGCACAATAAAAAAGAGCGAAACTGTAGAAACCCACTAGATACTCCGAAGGTACTGCTGTAGAAGAGTTACTAGATGGCTGAGCTATTTCAACTTCACAGTTTGCTAGTACAATAACATCTCCAGATGTCGATGGCCTGCAGACGATGCCCTGCACGACGCTCATGGCAAATCCAAATGTTGATTGTTAGTCTCCTGAAAGCAGAACGAATGGCCTCGAACTCGAAACGATCGCCAAATGGACGTAGAACGAAAGGTAGAAAAAGAAAACGCTGATGTCACTACGA